CTCAGTGAGATCGAACGGAGATGCTGCTGTGGGTGCCAACTGAAGCAAGCCCAGGCGAAGGAAGGCACGTTGCAGTTCCCCAGTCCCTCCAGAGGCAGCAGCCAGTCCAAGTGGTGGACCTCGTTTCCCTAGCAATCCTGCTCCTGCCTGTCCACCAGATGTCAGGAATGCTCAGGGAATGGGAAGACCACATCTCTGCCTGCTGCCTCCAGGCGCAGGGGTTTCCCTATGGCACTTCCCAGTGTAGCTGTTAACAGCCTCTGCTGGCTCCCAGACCCTCTGTGGTCACCCCCCAAGGGAATTCTACAATGCCCCGGGACTCACACAGCAGGATGAGGGCAACGAGCAGCACGATGAGGATGGAGACGCAGAAGATGAGCAAAAGCCGCCGCTGGCTCATGCAGGGAGATCTGAACATGGAGGATCCTAGCAACAGGGCAGAGGCAGGGTCAGGGGGAGCCACTGTGTCCCCAGCGTGCCCAGACCCTGCTGCCCACCTGCACATGCCAGGAGCTCGCTGGTTCCCCATGCACCCTGCTCAGAGGACCCACAAGACATGCGAGAGCAGGGCCACGCACACCCCACACCGTCCCATGGCATCCCCCCATCCTGCCATGGTCTCTATCCTCTCCCTTGCCCCCAGCACCCTTCACAGGCCCTGGGAAATGCCAGTCTGTGGCTGAGGCTTGTGCCAGCAATGGGCACAGGCACTCGGTCCCTGCCTCCCTCCATCCCTCCCCATCCTAGGGCCAGGAAGGCCAGAGACCCCCCTTGGCACCATCCTCTTACGTGTGCTCTCACAGGCCGTGCAGGGGGCCACGGCTGGGGTGGACTCCGGGCTGTAGGGCTTGAAGCTAATGCCAAGGACGCTTTCTTGAGGCTTCAGGGGTCGGGCGCTGAAGATGTTGCTGACTGCAGAGGCATGGAGGCTGGGACGCACACTGCTGGGTGATGCAGTGGTCTGCGGGCAGAGGACACCCTTACTGACAATGACTGCTGCCCACAAGAGCTGCCACCCTGCTGCCCAGGACATGGAGCCAAGCTCCCCAACACAGCCATCCATTGTGATGACTATTCCTCCACAGCACCATGAACCATGTGGAGAGCTACCACTGTGGTGCCTCTTTCGGCACCATGAAGCCTGAGCTGTACCCCACCTGGGACAGCTGAAAACGTCTTTGTCACAGAGCTCTACCCCTTTAGATAGCTGCTGGCCAAATCTCCCAAACTGATTGCTTTGATCAGAGCAATCAGCTGGGTATTTGGCATCAGGTCAGTCACACTGTGGCCCAGTTCCACAGGGCTAGTGCCCCAATTTATGCATCTATCCTTAATTAGCCGTCTGAAAAATACAGGGCAATTTCCAGTTGTTATTTAGTAATACTTAATAATCAGTGTTTTCCAAGCCCTGAAACATCCTGCACCCTGGAATGCTGCTCTGCAGTTGTGTCACTCCTGATCCATGAATTTCTAAAAGAATACGTATTTCTTTCCTTTCCTTAAGATATGCTCTTCCAAGCACCCCATCAGCTACTGAAGCAAGAGCCACTCATTTACCTTCAGAGACGAGCTGCATACAAAGCCCAAAACAAATGCTGTTTCCTCTGCCTCTTGTAAAATCTCAGATACATCTCTGGCAATAAGAAATGGCTGCGTGCCTTACAGGAATGGTAAGGCCATCGCTGGGCAGCACACGGCAGTGACAGCCCCTCCGGGGCTTCATCCTTGGCAGGTCACCCCATTGCCTCACTCCTCAGCCCGCTGCCTCCCAGCACCACACAGCCACAACAAACCACACTTACACCAGCCTGTTCAAGGGAAACCAGTTGAATTTGGGCTACATGCAACCCTACAGAGACCTCTGCATCCTTTGGCAGACAGTGCAGCCAGCTTGGTACCCACACCCAGCCCACCTCCAAGGGAGCTGCTTACCAGCCAGGAGTTGGCTCAAACACATCCCTCAGGAAGCCTGTGTCTGGTTTTTGGCCCTGCAGTTGCTAGAGGTGACATTTCCTGGTATCCAGAAGCATCCCTTTCCCTGCCAAGCTGGTGAGCAGCACCCGGGATGGTGCACAGCTCTAGGACAGGCAGAGAGGATGGGGACACTGGGCAGAGCGGGAGCTGCTGTCGCCAAGTCGCCCCCTTCCAGCTGGATTTCCTCTACCCCTGTGTTTCCTGCTGGGAACCTGGAGCCCTAATGAGCACATGAGGAGCCTGCTCAGGCTCGTGCTTTGCAAATACAGCTGTGCCCTCTCTTGCAATGCAGTGGTGTAACTTCCTGGGCATTATCCCCTGAGTCACGCACCCGGCGTGGCCACTCGCACTCCCTGCACAGAGCCCGCCTCAGCATCACGGGGGACACAGGACACACTCCAACTCCTCTGCTGTGCCTCAGGAAGTGGCTGCTCGCAGCGGGGAGCATGAGCCGTGGAGCCACAGGCACAGCACCCCAGGCTCCAGCTCCTCCTGCTGCCTGCGGGCCCTGGGCATGGTGACCGCTAACATCTACCAGCCACCAAGAGCCACTTCTCCGCTCCCATCAGGGGACGAAGTGAGCAGCTCTCTGGTCTCCTGATGCAGTAAGAGGAGCAAGACAGTTTGTGTTTCACAGTATCGCCCACCCCTCCTCATTCCTTCTCACCAGGCAGCAGTAACAAGCCTGAATTTGCTCAGCCTGCAGCAAAAGATTGGTTTCCCTACACCTGAGTTCCATGTGGGCAAGCTCAGGACACCTCTGCTGCAGGCTCAGCTTCTCGTGGCTCTCCCAAAGGTGCTGGGGAGGCCAGGAGAGCCCCACGGTGCTCTGCAGGGCAGGACTGGCACTGGAGGGCTGCAGACTGCCCTGTAGTGTCCTCTCTTAGTGAGTCTGAGCAGTCATGCCAATGGGATTGGAGTTCTTGCAGCAAATACTGCATGCCATGAAACATCCCCGGGTACCCTTAGTGCCACTGTTAGAGAGGGGATGCAATCAGCAAGACGGCCAGAGCTGCAGCAGGTCCTGCTCCTCTACAGAAACAAAGCAACATATGGATAGCAGGAACCCTTCCTAGGAAAAGAACTTCTCCCTTCTAAGTATCAATGAGGGTTTTATCAATACTCACGCAGTGCTATTTACACTGGCATTTGTACCCTCTCTCTAATGCCTGGTATTTCCCATGCCTCATCCTTCAGCTAACAGATAAGCAGAATTACAGTGCTGTTAAAGACAAATCTTTCCAGCTCCACCAGTAAGCCAGTGGTGGTGGATGCTAAAGCATTGCCATCTCCAGTGTGCAAAGGTTTGAAATTAACACCTAGCTATGGTACAGGTTACATTGCTCTTAATGCTCCTTAGCAGGAGACACATGCCCTTTCTCACACCCAGCTGACCTATTAACTACTTATTTCCTCCAAAGGCTAAAGTCCAAGTATTATTTTTTCTAGGTCTATCACAGAAGCTCACAAAACTTTTACCACAGGCTCCTGGTAACCAGCATAACTGGTTGCTGTTGGATAGCTACTGGAGCACAAAACAAACAGCAGTGGCTTTACACTGATACTTCTGTTAAGGAACGTGCCTTACCCTAGCGAGCGAGCCACGACTTCTGCCCACAAACCCTTTACTCATCCTTTGCTGGCTTTTGAGTAAAAGTCAGACCCGGAGCAATGCCTTATCTCACACACGTGGCTGCGGTTTGAGCGTTGTTCTGACGTCCTCCCTGCAAACGTTCCACCAGCCACCAGAGTGTTATGTGCTGCTGTGGCTGGTATCTGAAAGCCAGGCTTGGGGAGGGGGAGCACAGTCAGCTCCTTCCCATGGCAGGGCTGACCTTCTGACAGCTGGGAACAGGGATGCTGGAAACGCAGGGGGACTCTGCCTCACTCCCGGACCTGGGGGATGAGCAGACAGTGCCTGACTCCTACCTGAGCCCTTTCTTAAACCTGTCATGAGCCTAAACACCAGCCTCCAGAGGGAAGGCCACCAAATCCATGCCAGCAGAAGGCAATCACATGGGGCAGGGCGGTTTGGGCTGGGCTGGAGGCTCAGGATCCATGTGTGATGGGAGGGAGGGCAGGGAAACCAGCCAGCAGCCAGTTTCGGAGTGGGAGGGAGCACGGAAGCCAGGCAACACCTGAGGTGTTGCAACCAGGCCTGGGACCCAGCTCTGGGCTCAGCAGCCACCCAAGACTTGGAGCATCAAGAGAGGAAGGAGGCAGCTGACTTTAAATAGCTGGAGGAAGCTGCCTAACTAGGTGATGCTTCCCAGCTGAGCTCAGCCTGCCTCTCACCATGGCTCTGCTGCTCACAGCCCATTGTTCCAGGTAGAGAACTATCTCCTTAACCCAGCTGTAGCATGTGGATTGTGCTCAGAAAGCACAATAGTGACATTGTCCTTACACTTACCTGAGACAAAGCCTCCCAAAAGCTCCTGTTTCACCTCCTGGTGATACCCATCCTATGGTGTCTCCCTGCAAGGGGCAGATCCTCATCCCCAGGGACAAACCAGGCAGGAGCTGCAGGAGGATGCTCCCGCTGGATGTCGTAGAGGGGCAACACACGGGGAAGTGGAATCCCAAAGCACATAAGGACCATTTTCAAGTGCAGATGATAAGTGCCATCGATTGAGTCAGCCCCAACAGCCAGGGACAGCTTGCCCTATGCCCATGTGAGCAGCTCTTCAGGCAGAGATCAGAAAATGTTCTAGGGGGTGAGTAATCCACAGATGGGCAAACCGAGGCACGGAAAGATGAAGAGATGAGGGTGGCACCCGAGACTCCTAATGGTCCATTTAACCTAGGTGACAAAATCAGGGTGGCCCAGTGTGGATATCCAACATCAGGTAATTGCCTCAGTACACGGGCATCCCAGTTCCTGCCCTGCTCACACCAAGACACGGTGCTTCTGCCTGCTTTTGGGGCTACCCAGAGCCAGGACCACACTGCCAAGCATTGCTGGGGCCAGGCCGACCCACTGAGCCTCATCCAACCCCGTCACTACTGGCTCTGCACGTTCCGGATGTCGCTGGCACAGCCAGCAGCACTCGGTGCAGTAATTACCCACTGCCTCGCCCGGGTGGGCTGAGCCCAGTGCCCGGCTCGGATGGATGTTTTCCTCATGACAGGATGCTCAGCTGAGACCGAGCAGGCCCTGGGCAACCCAGCCCCAAAAGAGCACAGGGAAACCCGCCAGGAGAGTATCAGTGTGCTGCTGCTACCGATGTGCTGGTGAGAATGCTGGAGGGCTCAGGAAGGTGCAGCTCCCATGGGTGCCAAGAAGCACTGGCTCCCACCAGCCCCATCAGCCAGTCCCCCCAGTTTGAAATCCATTCCAGTGTGGAAAAGCAGCGGTGCCAGGAGCCCTACAGCCTCCTCTGCCAGCACAAGGTGACACTGGGAATGCTGGAGGCATTCCTCCTCCCTCCATGTGCCAGAGGCAGCAGCCCCACAGGCAGCTCAATCCAGGTCCTTCTCCCCACTGGCAGCAACAGGCTGCGAAGGAAACACCCCAGAGAACAGCAGGGAGAAACCGGGCCCTCCACCAACCCCTAAGGAAAGTGGATCCATACAGATACAGAGCTGGGTCGGAGCTGCCCGTGCCTTACCGGAGAGGCTTTCCCGTCCATGGGCCGGAGCAGGGCTGGGCTGTGCTCACAGCTCCGGCACAGCCATCCTTTGCCGTGCAGCACCGTGCGGAGCGAAGTCAGAGCCGCGGGGACGAGGCAGAATATGTTTGGCGAGCGGGCGCGTACGTCAGTGCCAGCGCCGGGTGCGGAGGGAAACCAGTTCGACCAGCCTGTTTCCCAACTGCTCCAGGCACAGCACGCAAAACACCTGCCTCTGCTGCCGGCCACCACAGCCAGGCAATGGGGAGCACTGGGCAGGAGCCTCGGCTATGGCCAGAGTCAGGGAGCAGAGGAGGTCCTGGTCCTGGGAATGAGCAGCATCCCAGGCATCAGGGTCCCCTCGCCACTCTCCTGGCTGCCAGCCTGCCCAAGGCCCCCCTTTTCCACTGTGTGACCACTCAGCACTTCTCCTGCCCCATCTGAGGGAGAAGAAGGGATGTGCAGCTGTGTCCAACCCAGCAGAGCTCTCCCGTGAGCCCCAGATGACTGAGAAGTCCAGAATATCCTCTTATGGCTCAGCAGGGAGGAAGGAAACCTCTCCAATGGCCCAGTTCCAGGAGGCTCTGTTTGGTGGTGTGGTGCCTCCCGTGAGTCCCATCCTGACACCCTGTTTTCCAGGCACATTTTTGTTGGCATTAATCATAGCATAAGTCCCTTATTCATCTGCTCCCCACCCACACCTGCTCATCGGAAGGGCAGGAGGCAGCTGGGCCATCCAAGCTTGAAGGAAACCTGCTTCAAAGCTCCCTTGATTTCGAGGCTAAAATGCCCAGGATGGATCCCACTGTCTCAGGACTCTCCATCCCATCTCTCCCTAGAGGGGCCAGTTCCTGCCCTTCTCCTCTTTAGTTTTCACAGAGATGACTAACAGCATTTTGTTTGCTACACTGTGCCTCTGAGGGCTCTGTCCCACCAGCGTGCAGGGGCTCACAAGAGGGTTTTGCTGTGGTTGACCTGAGCTGGCCCTGCGTGTGCGCCCGTGCGAGCTTGCACGTCCTCTTCTGAAAGAGGGTTCTCAGAAAGCAGATCCAGGTGGCAGCTCCAGGAATTATTTGCTTGTTGGTGTTTCTGCAAAGCCACCTACAGAGAGCAAGTCACAGAGAACTGTGCATCTGGGCTTGACCCCAGCAACCTGATGTTAAATGTCATGTTGTGCACGGCACCTCCCATGTGAAATCCTCCTTGCTGGTAACCTCTCTTAGGAGCCCTGCTGCACCCTCCCGCCCTCCCAGCTAGCTGAACAAGGTGCTAATAGCACACACAGCCTGGGAAAGTCCAGCAGTTCCTCTGCTCTGACCTCCAGGCATTGGCAATTGGGAAGAGGGTAACTCTGCTCTTCCAGGCAGGGCTGCGAGCAAGCAGAACCAGCCCTGCAGCCCCACACACTGCCTGAGCCTGCCTAATGGACACAGGCAGCCCCTTGGCTGAGCAGGTGCCTGGGGCTAGTGGCTGGGTAGTGGAGCCAGGGCTGCAGCCCTTGCTGCCCCAGAGAGGGGCTGCAGAGGCTCTGGAGGAAGACCTGGCATGCTGTTGGACTTAGGTGATTTCCAGGTTACTAAAAACACAGCTATTCCTATTCAAATATTAGTCAGTTATTTTTAAGATGAAAAGGAAACTTGGCAGCTTTCTCAAAGGTTGTTTGGACCCGTGAACCCAAAACCTCTCCTGCTGACATGTGGGGCTGCTCTTTTCTGTGTCTCTTTGGTTTTAATGTGGTGCTTTAGGTGAACAGCAATGCCTGATGCAAAGCTTGTCTTTGAGTATCACCAGGTCCTCTGCCTCTGCTAGGGCTACATGGACTACACAGGACATGGCTGCATGCTGGGCAGGGGCTGCTGTGCTTACCTGCCTCTGGTTGGGAAGATGGGTCTGCCCTCCTTTCCCTGTGGTCCCTCATACCAGAGCTGGTGGCAGCAACAGTAGCACGGAGACATGAATCCTGCAGTCTTAAGGATGCCAAGTGGCATTTCATGGAGGTTGAGGGGAAAGCACTGACAAGACAGGGATGCTGGGAAGCATCTGCACCTCAAGCCATGGAGCCAGCAGTGTGTGGGGACATGACTGCAGTGTCCCAGCACCAGTGCAGCGGCTCAGGTGCCAGCATAAGCACCACGAGTGGCTGCGCTGCTCACGATCCAAGTGTTCAGCAGAATTGTCATTTCTCCTCAGCCTGTTTCATTTTCCTCTAAATTGCCAACCATTCCTCCCCAGCCTCTGCACCGCTCACCCACAAGACCAGCCCCACAGTGTCTTTCCACAAGGCTCCCTCCTTCCTCATTTTTGGTCCCATTGCTTTTGACTTTCATGTCTTTACACAAAACACGAGCTGTGGCTTTGTGTGGGACAGACTCTGAAGTTGAGCGGCTGCCAGATCTGACTCACAAGCTGATACAAGAGTGACAGCACATCAGATGGCTCCCAAAGAGTGGAGAATAAAGCCAAGCGAGGGTGAAGCCAGGGAGGGATCTGCTGCTGGAGCAGTCCTCCCTGCCCATCGCTATGGTTGGCCCTCATCAGAGGAACTGGCAAGGGAGAGCCTCTTCCTGTGCCAAGCATCCAACACCACCACCACATGCCCACATTCCCCGTAGCCCCAGCAGAGTGGAGCTGAAGCCTGCATGTCCCTGGATGCCACGAGAGCCAGGCATACCACCATGCCATGCCCGAGGTCCTGCTGCCCAGCTCAGCAGCACCGCTGGATCCATCCTGCAGCTGACAGGTTTGCCAGTGCTCTAGCAAAGCTGCAAGTTCATGGAAGCCTGTGGGCTTCATCAGGAAGGATGAGTCAGGGGACAGGAGAAAACCAAACCAGCAATCGCCCACTTGAGGCATTTCAGATGGCTCTACTTTGCAAAGGGACCTGAGGTCCTGTGCCTCTATGCCTACTCTGAAGCTTTCTGAGGCTGTCCAGAGCACTCTTGGTTTCTCTTGCTCTTATCTGCGTCTTTTCCACTAATTCCCCACTGGGAAATTCCTCTTTTTGAGACTAATTGTTCTCCATCACATGAGGGCTCCTGGGTTTGCACAGCACCCAGGAAAGCCCTCAAGCCCTGTGTTGTAATTTGCCAGAAGGCAAACCAGAGGACTACCAGTCTGCTTGGTGGTAAGTCAGGTCCTAGAACCTGAGGCCAGCATCACCAGAGGGGCAGGACATCACCATGGGGCTGGAGCCCTGCAGTAATGTGCATCACTGCTGTACCAGGGCCCCATTCTGGCTGACCTGGGGACACTTTACAGCCCCCTTTTGTGACACCACCCCTGTGCATAGGTGTTTGCAGGACACATAAAGCCCAGAGATGGTCACTCAGCCCCAGATATGGTGAAAGGAGAATTGCAGACTGAAGCAGGAATATATGGTCTGAGCTCAAAGGAAGGGAAACGAGAAGCCCTTCCTGGGGCTCCAAGGCTGGCTATGACCTGGTTCATTTTAGCCACAGGACATTGGCCCAAGGGGACACTGCTGTGCTCAGCAAAATCCCTGTGATGGGTCACCCTAGGTGCCAAGCTCACCCCTGTTCTGTGCTTTTAACATCCTATTAGATAATGAAGCCGGCAAAGGCAGACACGATTTACTCCTATTTGCTCTTTCTCAACAGTGAGAGAAAAGCCCCCAGACCTTTTCCTTTAAGGCTGCTTTTAGGAAATGCCCAGCCTGGACCCAGATTAGCTGCGGTGAGTGGGAGGACAGCAACGAGAAGTGGAAGTCACTACACAGCTACTTTCCTCCCGCTGCGCTAACGCCTCCAAGACGTCACTGAGCCAGCCTCCAGGGGAAAAACAGGCGTTCACAGCCCGCGGGGCAGAG